TTGTTTTTTCAGTACTTTTCAAACCAGTTCACCGCTGATTACCTCTCAAACCACCTGCATGGTCAAGAGGCTAGGAAGGTATTCATTCAACACCCACGGTACAATATTGAAGTCTTCCTGAAGAGGACAAAGGTTGGGCGGGCAATTATCATAGCCACTGGCCTAAAGTTGCAAGGACATTCCACATCACTGAATGCTCAATATTTGCCTTCTGCTTCTGCAGTTTCCCAAATGAGATTCACCTGTCTATTTACCATGTATGATGCTACTTTCCAAAGGTTTTCGATGTTGCATGTGAAACTTAGTGATGTTGTGTAATGGCGTAACTAAGTGCCGAAACTATTTGATGTAATTCGATTATGAAATCCTGGTTGCTGTTATACGGATATGAAATATCTTGTGTGTTTTATAAGAAATATCAATTTGATTAGTACATGGATTATCAATAATAGGCTAATTACCCTACTTATTGGGGTTTTCTATTGCATACAGTTACTCAGACAGCACCGTGGGCGATGAACTCAAACAACCCACACGGTTTTTAGAAAATAGGCGTGTTCGATCAACTAACAATCACACACGACTTCCAGCAAAGAACTATTTGCGTTAGGACACCTTGCACAAACGTTTCGACACAAAAAACTGTGTGTGATATACATACGAACGGAAATGTTTTTCTGGATTCACCGTGTGGGATGTACATACGAACGAAAACGATTGGGTTTCGATGCCTCGCCAGATCACACACGAGCTCATTTTGCCCCAGCCTGTGTGCCAGGAGGGCCTATCCCCAACGGTTTCTGGGTCGTGTGGGAAGGACCCCCTATCATCCACACTCACTTGGCGACGGTTCCAAACGCCGTCACGAAAAGGGGTTAAAAACCGTTTGTATAGCAGGCCTCTACACCAATGCTAGTAGAACGACTGTGCATTGCTATGGGCTGCAATGCATATACTTTAGGAAGCATCTTTGGTCTGAACTCTTAATCTAATTATGCCCCTCAACCTAGTCTATTGCAGCTACTGCTTTTTTAAATGCACTTGTTATTATTTTGGTTGTTGTTATATCATGAAAAAAATTGAGCTACAAACTAAATTCACCAATTAGACATGCATGCCTTGGTATTAAAAATGATTGCTTGCATCATTTTTGGAACATGTGTTGACAACATATCTATTTAAAAAAGAATAATACTTATATTAACAACAATCCAAGAGTTGTACAATTCGTGAATGTATGTGGCTAAGATATAATTGTGAAAGAAAAAAGGGTCTATATAAAGTCATCTACTAATGACATGACATAACTGACCTTTTGAATTCTTTAGGATAGAATGCAAGATATCTCAATGCAAATCAATACATGCCCACTCTCATCTTTTGATGTCTTCTCTATCAGTCCCTACAACCTAGATAGGTGTGACCTATCGGAACTAATAGACATCATCTTTCTCAACTATGTGGCAGCCTTGCTTACGATGAACCTGTAAAACATGGAATTAATCAATCAAAAGCGTCATATGATACGTCTTGAACATATCTATAATTTTTTATTATTCCATGCTATTACAGCATCAATCTTGGATGTTTTATATGCAATTATATATCATTTTTTGGGACTAACCTATTAGTCTAGTGCCCAGTGCTAGTTGTTGTTTTTCCTTGTTTTTTGGCTTTTCAGAAAATCAATACCAAACAGAGTCCAAACACTAAGAAACTTTTTAACGATTTTTTCTGGACCAGAAGGGAACCTAGAAAGTTTGGGAGAAGACCTGAAGAGTCACGAGGGAGCGACAAGCCTGCCAGGCACGCCCCAGGGGGGCGCCCCCAGGCTTGTGGGCCCCTCATGGCACCTCTTGACCTTAGAAAGTATTATCAAGTGTTTGACAGTAGGATCACTTTAATTATGGAGAGTATTATTTTTTGCACAAGTGGATCACGTTAATTGTAAAAAGTATCATCGAGTGTTGAACGGAAGGATCACGTTAATTACTGAGAGTATCATTATTTGGATGTGAGTATCACATTAATTATGGAAAGTATTATCGATCCTTGAATGGAAGGATCACGTTAATTATGCATCACCCAGTCATTAATCAAAACAATTTGGACACCGGGCACCAAATCGATTTGGAAATCAAGTCATTAGTGCAATTAATTAGCCAAACAATCAATTATGCATGCAATTTATTACATTCGCTTAAGTAGGGATTTTTTGCACCAAATCAATTATGAAATCAAGTCATTAATATAATTAATTAATTAGTCAGACATATAATTAAGGATGTAGATAATTAATACTAGGAACTTTTTTCAACCATGTCTTTACTATTAAACCCTTGACCCCCCTTACGAAAAAACCCATCCGCCACAAGAAAACCCATCCCCTGCGTCACGCAAAATAAAAATAAAAATAGGAAAGAGATTTGGAAACCAAGCACCGAATCAATTGGGAAATCAAAGGGTTTGGTTTCGCATGTGGCCATTAATGTCCAAAACCCGTCTCAGTTATTGCTTGTCCAATTCCTGCATTGCCCATAGTTCGATGCAATTAATTAGGCAAACCAGTTAATTATCTATGTTAATTAGTTAGACACTTAATAAGTCTATTTAATTTGGAAAGTATAATCGAGCGTTGGACATGAGTATCACATTAAATATGAAGAGCATCATTATTTGGACGGAAGGATCACATTAATTATGAAAAGTATCATTATTTGGACGAGAGGATCAAGTTAATTATGAAAAATATTATTGAGGGTTCGACAGTAGGATTACTTTAATTATGGAGAGTATTAATTTTTGGATAGGATGATCACGTTTATAAAAAGTATCATCGAGTGTTAAACGGAATGATCATGTTAATTACGGAGAATATCATTCTTTGGACATGAGTATCAAATTAGTTATGGAAAGTATTATCAAGCCTTGAATGAGAGGATCACATTAATTATGTAGTATCACCCATTCATTACTACAAAACGATTTGGACACCAAGCACAAAATCAATTTGGAAATCAAGACTTTAATGCAATATATTAGTCAGAAAATTAAATAAGCGTGAAATTAATTAAGTTTGTTTAAGTAGGATTTTTTGAACCAAATCAATTATGAAAGCGAGCCATTAATGCAATTAATTAATTAGCCAGACACATAATTAGGGATGCAGATAATTAATACTAGAAAGTTTTCTCAATTGTATCTTTACTATTAAACCATTGATCCCTCTTACGAAAAAACCCATCTGCTCCCGTCTCCATACATGCACGAGAAAACCTACCTCCCTTGCCTCAAGCAAAAAGAAAATAAAAAAACAAAAAGATTTGGAAACCAAGCACCATATTAATTTGGAAATCAAGCCACTAATGCAATTAATTAGAGAGACAACTCATTACGCATGCAATTAATGCTCGTGTTTTGAGGCACTAGGGATTTTTTGCGACAAATCAATTATAAAATCAAGCCCTTAATGCAATTAATTAGTTAGACACTTAATTAGAGATGCAGATAATAAATAGTAGGAAGTTTTTACAATTGTGTCTCTAGGGGGGCGCCCTGGCCTTATTGTGCGAGGCGCACCAGCCCTACTTGGCCCATGCACATAGGGGAAGGGAAACCCTAAGTGGGAGGGCCCTGCACTTGGCTTGGGGGCACTCCTCCCCCTTGGATGCCTCCCCTCCTTGGAGGAGGGGCTAGGGCTGCGCCCCCAGCCCTCCCACACCCCTATATATAATGGGGAGGGGGCGCAAGGGCTGGACACACCAAACCCGAGCCTCCTCTCTCTCCCAATAAGCCTCCACCTTGATCCGATGGCGCTTGGCGAAGCCCTATCGGTATTCCGCTGCCATTACCACCACCACGACATCGTGTTGGTTCAGATCTCTTCTACCCATTCTACCTCTCTTGCCGGATCAAGAAGGAGGATACGTCGCCGAGCCGGATGTGTGCTAAAACTTGGAGGTGCCGCACGCGCGGTGCTTGGATCAGATTGGATCACGACACGAGTTTGACTACGCCAACCACGATCTCTAGATCGTTAACGCTTTCGGTCTGCAAGGGTATATATACACCTCTCCCTCTCGTTGCTATGCATCTCCATAGATAGATGTTGGATGTTCGTAGGATTTTTTTTGTTTTCCATGCTTCGTTCCCCATCAAATTGGACAACACACATAGGGTTCACCGCATTATAACAACTTACTAGATAGATCATAAGACTGCAAAATACAAATGATGATATATAGATCATGTACAAATGAATCTTACCACTCACCTACATCTCCCTCGCCTATGGGGAATTACTCACACATCATAAGAGAAAACCCAATCACACCAGAGAATAAACTCATGAAAACCATATCAATAATACTGTGAAGATCCACAATAAAATGAAATGGACAATTCAAATAGTCTTGATCTCCAGATGAGAATGAATAGAGTTACAAATTGTTCCCACAACTTGGAATTTCCCTTACTATGGTGAAGGATGAGATGATGATGGAGATGAAAGGACCAAAACTAAGAAGATCTCCGAAGGTTCTTCAGATCTCCTCCTCTTCTGTTCTGGAGGTGGCGGCGGCTAGGGTTCTTTCTCCCCCCGGTCCCTTCACGAAAGTGTCTTCTATAGACGTGGTGGAGCTGCTGGCACCTCATACAAGCGCTCATACGAGCACCAGTGATTGTATGGAAGGTCGTCTTTTGCTCTGGTGCGCTTGGTGACTTGGCTCTCCACATGGAAGTTGCTCCATTTGACTTGATTGGCAGTTACCCTCCTGGGTTTGCTTCCATAAATGATATTTACTGCCAAACAATGGAAAATGGGTTTATTCTCTTTTGAAGGATTAACATTATAAATAATCAGGAAGTGGCAATGATCCGATGAAATCCAAATAAGAATCACTCAAAAATATCACAAATGCTCGAGCCATCAGCTAGCGACGACGAGCAAGCCATTGGGGATTGGCCACTAGGAGGGGGCACGAGAGCCACTTAGGTCCTACATGCCCATCAAGGACGGCGAGGACATTGCTATGCTCATCATCCATGAGCCCTTCCGACCGGTGATGAAGGAGCATATCATCGTAAAGCATCCTCACATCGTTAGGCTCTCTGTGCAACCAAATGGTGCGAGTTCTGGGTCCAGGTCCAGATCTTCCACTAGCAGATGGCGCTGGGGAGAGTCTGGGACTACTTCTGCCAGAAGCACAAGATCTCCAGTGACATGCTTGACTGAGGTTGACAGGCCCGAGCTTCAAGGTGTAGATCTACAATGCCGATACCTCCACCATCTTTAAGGTCAGGTGCACCAGGCACTGCTTCCTGGGTAACATCGCTCGTGCTCCCCCCTTTCTAGCTAGATCGTCTGAACTTTGCCTCTTTTGCTATCAGACTGTATATTTTGCCCAGGGATCAACACCCTGGGTTGTGGAGGGGAATGGGATGCCCATGTTGTGTTAAACTTATGGTATGTAATGCACCATGAACTGTTTAGTTGTGTTGTAATGAGTAGGAACTATTTAGTTGCTTGTTAATTGTGTTCATGCTTGATGATATGTGTTGTGTTGCTGTGAAGTGTAGTCCAATTGGGTGGTAAGGCCACCACATTTGAAATGGCGGCGCAAAACGCCTACGCCCACACAACCAAACACTTGTGGTTTGGATCTATTCACTCTTGAAGCACAAATGCAGCCCACCAAACACCAGGCATAATCTGATCACTGGCGCAATGTAGGCTACCAAACCATGTGCACAACATGGTTTTGAGCCTGCATTAGCTCGACATGTCCTAGTTGAGTCACACTTGTAAGGAGATAAAAACTATGTAGGCTACCAAACACGTCCTAGATTCTCATGCAATGTACTTCCATATTATGTATACTTGATCTTGTACATTTTACCATATTTTCCCATTAACTAGGTCAAACTTGAAAAGATTAACATATGTCAAATTTAGAACTTCAACTAATTTGGAATGGAAGGAAGTATGGTTTTCCAAAAAAAGAGCATCCACCAAAGTTGTGTAAGGTACACATGATTGTTCGACTCAATATAGTTCCACGAAATTTCTGCATTGCAGGCTCCATAAAACATATCAATTAGGACTACATAGACGTTGTTGGCACTTACGTCGATTCAAAGAACACTCAAGAATACATGGGTATCGTGGTCTCGAGTTGATGGCATTTTTTAGAAAATGCTAAAAATGTGATGCTAATTATACGAATAAGAATAGTTTTTTTTTTGCAAGAGAGGAACAATAATGACTGCAGTGACAATATATCTCAAGGACACCTTCGAGTTTTTGAGTTGGTCCTATTAAAGTAGGAATAGTAAAATACATGATTGAAGTGTCACATGACCTTTAATACTGCAGGGCTGTGCACATAAAAACTTAATAATTTGAAGTAGATGAAAAATTTCCTATAAAATCTTTAAATATAAATGAATCCCCGAGAAAAATATATTACAGTTTGCAGAACCCGTATAGCAATCTTCTATAATAATTAGAATTCTTCAAAAATCTTTTGAGAATCCTTCAAATCAAATAGACACTACATGTGTTATCTATTTTTAAACTTGCATGTGGAAGAGTAAATATTTCCAACTTCAATTATGAGTTGTTACCCAAGCAAAATTAATCATACAAATCTAAACATTTATCGCTCATCGTAAGGTAGACAGTGGCTTCTCCTCGCATTTAACAGTAATTATGGACCTGCCCCTTCATCTCTCACATAAAAATAATTATGGACCGGCGGCTACATCCTCACATAAAAGTAATTATACATCGTTCGGAGGTAGAAAAATGTCGCTATCTGGTACTATTTTATTGTAAAACAGATAAGGTAACATAAGAGCAATCCAAAAATGACTAGAGAAAAGGAAGGCAAAAATGACGCTTTATGTGGTTTTCGCTTCTTCCCACGCCGACCAAACCAAAGAGGCCAGAGGAAGGAAAAAAAAAAAGATCCAACGAAATTACACAATCCAAGAGCAAACCTAGGGTTTTCGCCATGACCACCGCGCGCCTCGAGCTCCTCCACCCCTCCTCCATTCCCAATCTCTCCTAGGGCGACGCCGATACCCTGCCCCGCATCTCGCATCCGCGAGAAAGGAGCCGCCTTTCCTTTCCTCTCCGCCCGCTCCCTCTCTTCCATCCCAGGGTTTCCTCCCCCTTTCCCCTTTCCGCCCTCAAAGCCGCCGCATCGCATCGCGTCGCCCACGCAGCAAGCAAGTAAGCCGCCCGCTATCGTCGCCAGGTAGGGCGTGAGATTCGGAGGAAGGCGCTGGCGATCGACCTCCGGGTTAGGGCCTCGGCAGCGGCGGCGGTCGGATAATGTGTATACTGTGCGCCGTGCAACGGTGGTCGCGGCGCGTCGCCACCATGCTGCCGTGGCTCGTCCTCCCGCTCATCCTCCTCTGGGCGCTCTCCCAGCTCCTGCCCGCCGCCTACCGCTTCGAGGTCACCTCCCCGCGCCTCGCCTGCGTCTCCGTCCTCCTCCTCACCCTCTTCTGGTACGAGATTCTCCTCCCGCGCCTCTCCATCTGGCGTGCCCGCCGCTCGGCGCGCCTCCGCGAGGAGCGCCGCGCCCATGCGCTCGAGCTTCAGAAGCTCCACAAGACCGCCACACGCCGTTGCCGCAACTGCAACAATCCCTACAGGGACCAGAACCCTGGCGGCGGCAAGTTCATGTGCTCATACTGTGGCCACGTATCCAAGCGGCCCGTGCTTGACCTTGGCCCTGCGGGGAAGGTCCCCGCTGGGTGGCCTTGCAGTCAGGATTGGGCCAATGCTGTTGGTGACCCGGGTTACTGGCTTGACCTGCAGTGTTCCGCCGATAACTCGTACTCAGGCTTCTCATGGCGGCTGTTCTCGTGCTTTTGCACCAGTATGGCATGGTTCTGGAAGAAAGTGTTCAGGTTTGGGTCATCAGTGGACAGCGGTGGATTGGGCCGGGATGGCAGAATGTTGACAAAAGCAGGGGACAATGGAGGCAAGGCTGAGGAGAGCAGAGTGGACAAGGCGAAAAGGAAGGCTGAGGAGAAGAGGTTGGCGAGGTTGGAGAGGGAAATGCTAGAGGAGGAGGAAAGGAAGCAGCGAGAAGAGATGGCAAAGCTAGTAGAGGAGCGGAGAAGGCTGAGGGATGAGAAAGCAGAGGCTGAGGAGCGATCCAAAGGTGCTACCCCCGTCGGGGAGAAGGATGCTAGGAAGGAAGCAGAACGGAGGCGGCAGGAGAGGAGGAGGAAGGAAGACAAGGGATCAAGCAAGAGCAATTCAGACTGCGAAGATGTTGAGAGAAGAGTAAGCAGAGAAGGTGAGAGGAAGCGCGACTTTGATAGAAGGAATGAGACAGACAGGCGGGATGCGGCAAGAGTTGGGACAGATGGATACAAGCCCAATAACTTTGAATCTAACAGTCAGGGTAGTAAGATAGCACAGAGCAAGACGAAGTACTTTGGTCGTATGACTGGAGGTTTATTATCTTCTTCCAGAGGTTTTGGTGGTGGCTCCTTTTTTGGTAGAAGTGCTCAGGCCCCTGTTCATCAAGCTAACAAGGTGACTAAACCGCTCATTGCTGCAACTGACCAGAGTATTAAAAGAGATACCCAACCTGCAGCCACACCAGCAATGGTCAAATCTGCCACAGCCGGAGAAACTAGAAATTCATTGACTAATTTTAGTCGACCTGTAAGTAAAAGAGCATCGCTATGTACTGTTTTCATCTGAACAAATAGCGTATGTTGTTTTCACCCAATTGACCATCTTACATTTAATTATTTGTGTTCTGCTTTGTGCAGGTTAGTCCAAATATGCAGGCACATCCTACAGGCCTTAAAAAGTCATGGCATCAGTTGTTTAGTCGCTCAGCTGCAGTTTCCCCTTGTCCCGATGTTACTGCTTCAGCTCGTGAGAAGAACATGCAGCCTGCCCCAAATGGTGCACAGATAAGCAGCGCTCAAAATTTTCTGGCTCAGTATCCTCCTCTGGACAGCACGCCGAAGTTAAGCCAATCCATGCACTCTGCAGGGTTTCCGCCAGTGAATGGAGCATCTGCCAATATGCCGCTATCTCATTTTCCAGCGGGACACTCGCCCTTCGGTAAAGTTTCAGAAGCAGCATTACTGGAAGAACCTGAGCAATTTGAGGACCCGTGCTATGATCCAGATGCCATTGCATTGCTTGGTCCAGTTTCAGAGTCCCTAGACAACTTCCCTCCAGACTGGGATAGCAGATTCACCTTGAATGATGTCACCAAGCAACCACATGTTAGGAACCCCATGCCTTCACCAATTGAGTCTCCTCTATCAAGATCACGGACTGTTGAACGAAATCCTATTAGACCCTCACATTTCTCAACTGCAAAAGGGCATAATGGTTCAATGTCAGCTGAGGCTAACAATGAGCAAGGCACATGGCAAATGTGGAGCACGCCGCTGGTACAGGACAGTTTAGGTCTGCGAGGTCCTCAGGGACAATGGCTTCTACCAAACACAAATCAATTCAACCATGGCATCAATCATTTGAATGGTGGAACAAGAAGCCCCCTCAGTGCTGGTCTGAATGACAATGATTTATGGCTGCAGAAATCACCCTTCCAGCAATTGCCTCTTGATACAGATAGTCTGTTCCTTTCACACGACATGTCAGAAAATGCTATACACAGTGACTTGGGTTTTGGATCTCCAAACAAAACAGCCCGTGCGCACCCCTTTGGACCACCTGATCCTTGTCATTCTTGGTCCAAGTAAGTCCTCTGACATTGTTTTTAGATCTTCTACATTTTCTGCAACAGTCAAGTTTTGTATCCTTACCAATTGTTTGATATTCTTAACTTGAGCTTAAAACTCGGAATAATCACCTGCTGTTGTCAATTATCATTTTGTATGTGGCTACAATTCTAAATATGTGATTCAGATTGTCTTATTCACTATTGTGTATAGCTTTGTGTATCAATACATGTAAGCATCAATTGGCTGAAAAATATCATAATGATACTCTTACTTGAATTCACGTATATGTACATGCAATGTGTGTGTTTATAACCATTGAAGCTTAGACTTTATAGACAGTTTTTAATAGTTTATGAAAGATAACCAAGAGAATTTTTTAGGTAATGTCCTTTGATTGGTATGCAGTACAACCAATTGCTTGCATTTCTGCAATATTCTGTGCTGGAATGAGCCTAATCTTGTTGTTTGTGAAACATATGTGACTCTTGGGCTATGTGATTGGTCCTTTTGTCTCTGAACCACTAGAAGCACCAATAATCTTTTACACTTCAGTGAAAAATTTGTGTTAGTCTTGTGTATGAGCAATAATCAAATATGCTTCATTGCATGCAATTTAGTTTTTCTGAATGTGACGAATCGTCATACCATTTTAACTTTAGAAATATACTCCCTCCTCCTCATAATATAAGGGCGTTTCTGACACTACACTAGTGTAAAAAACGCTCTTATATTATGGGATGGAGGAGTAGTTTTTTGTTTCTATATGGTCAACTGGTATCTGGAACAACCAGGTAGCAAGAATGGCAAGTGGACCTTGAAACTGTATGTATTGTTTACATGTCAAGGATTGGTTTGAATTTTGGAGTGAACCACAAATGGCAGATAGGAGAATGGTCATTGTTTCCATTTATTTGTAGAAACTTTCTTCCTGTGCCACTTTCAGTGTAGGAAGTGGGGACTGAAGTCAGTTTAGTCTACAGCATTAAATACAAATATATTGTTTTAGAGGATATGATGTGCCTAACTACCATGAAGTCATCATACATGGTGTTGTGTTAATGCAATGAATTTAGTGCACTTTGACTTGTCAATTCCAGCATGTGCATTCTGTGGCTTATCTGTAATTTGTGGCGGGCAGAAGAGCTCACTTGAAGCTAAGACTGTCCTGTTTGTTGCTACATAATTTTTAATGCGTTTTATAGCGACCACCCCCCTTTATAACGCTTATGGCGTATGGCGAGGTGACAACATAGACCAACCTTGCTTTGATACCAAATTAAATCACTACTTCATAGACATGGCCTAACTTAGTGTGACAACAAAATAAATCACTAATTGAGTTGTACATACCTTGTTGGCGTGCATGTAGGACGCATATTCATGATAAACATTGAGCAACGAGCAAGATTGAATTAAGCATAGCACCAGCCAGGCAGCCACTAGTCCATGTACCAAATCAAGCAGAACACCAGCCACCAATATAGCATGTACATAAGTTCAGAACAGAGAATAGAAACAGTGCAGGAATGCGGGTAGAAGAAGGGAGTTGGGGGGAAGCTTACCTTGCTGGCTGTTGCACGCAGCGGAGGCAGCAGAAGAGAGGAGGCGCTGTGCAAATCTGGAACTGGATGCGGGCGGCAGGAAGCGC